GAGTAGGGTATCTTTCCCTTAAAATATTATGTTGACCTTAATCAACTGAATTGTGTTTACTCAGCTAGCAGTTTTTGGAGAACAACTTCTAAAAGCAATAATTTCCCATTCCCAATACGCCCTTAAATTTGCACATTCCATCATCCACACAGAACGAGGATTTTATTTTTGTCTTTTGTGTTAGTGGTACATATACTGTTTTTTAATCCCGGGAATTTAAAAAATTGTAGAATTAATTGACGCCTTCCATCTTGTGTTTAGCTTTTATTTTGATCACGAGGATGATGAAAAAAGTGAAAGCATGAAAGTTGGAAAAAGAAAAAGACAATACAATGAGCTTGAATTCAAAGAGATATGAGGATGGCGAACCATTCCATACAGCTATAAAAAGGAAAAGAAAAGAAAAGTAAAGGATGGGATGTGAATGATGAAGCCAGATATTATACTATTATTATTGCAAAAAAAGAAGGTGGCACAGACAGCTGCACGGTATGATTTTGCAGCTGGTTTCTGGAGTGACTAACACGCTGCACACACGCCTTTGGAATATATCTCTCTATATGCAGAAAGACAAAGTATATCAGGCTCAGGCTGAGCTGAGCTAATGATTTTGGGTAAAGGTTCTTCTTTGAAAAACTAATTCAATTTGTTACTACGTTTATTTTCCCCTTTCATTGCCAGGTATTAGTTTCTGGTCCCCCACTAAGCCTTTCCACCACGCGTTTTCTCTTTGCTGTGTCCCCCTTGTCATCTCTCTACACCTATTGATTTGGTTGCTAAATAGAAAAGAAAAACATGGATTGTTTTTTCCCCTTTTTTCTTTAGGTAATTTTGTCCATGTGACATGCTTAACCTTTTCTAGCTTAAGTTCAATTGACATTAATGAGTTCCTTTTTCTTTCAGTCCAGTAGATTCTTGGATGGGAAACTGAATTCAAGCTTAAAATATTTAACCGAATTTAGTTCAAGATTAGCCTAGTTTATAAATAAACTTTTATAGTTTGACGATTAGGTCTCTTAAGAAATTAGGGCTACAACTTGCTTTGAGCCCAAACACCCAATTGTTTGGATTGTTTTTCAAACCAAACTAGATATTTTGGTTCTAAAACTAACTAAATTACTAAAATACACAAGTCACCTGTTTATGTGTAGCCATTGTGGAACCCTATCATGAGGTAAAATTGAGTGTATTAGCAAAAGAAAAATGATTTAAGAACAATATTTTTATATCATTTTTTAATATAATTTTATGTATCATTTAAATAATTGACTTTTTTCATTTATTTAATACCTTGATATTGAATATATTAACTCATTTAATAATATGTAAAAGTTATATAAAAAAGTAATACAAAATGATTGTCCCTATATCACCACCTATTAACATAAATATGAAGAGATAGAAAAAAAAAATTTTTTTTTTTGCCTTGTATTGTCGGGTAGAGGGGGGAAAGTAAAGCAAATCCTTACTCTTTTGATAGCATAGCATGTGTTATTTTTATAAGTGAAAAAATAAATACAATGTAAACCATTCCAAGTCGCATGAATCTCTTGCAGATGCATATCAAAGCTGCTTGATGACATTTTCCTTTATGCTTCTTCTAAGAAGGAAGGGAGAATACATTCTAAAGGATGTCCAGCAGAAACCAAGAAGCAAGGGACAGGAAGTGACCTCTTAACCAAAGCAAATTTGCTGGGCTCAGACAATTGGTAGGCCTTACGGACCATTCAATAGACTCCAACAACCTCCAAGCATTACTTATACTTAAGGGGGCTTGATTAGGAAGTTGAAGCCTAAGACTGGTTGAAATCAGCAATGAAGGCTTCTTTGCATATCCAAAAGACTGGATTAATGGTCCATTGACTTTTGTAATAGGAGAAGCTGACAATCATCTCTAGCCCCTCGCATCATCTTTAACGAGTTTGGCTAAGTGAACCTGCTTGCAGAAATGTATATATAAGGCCAACAGTTATTTCTTTTGGGGATCTTTTGAAGTTCTACTAACCTCACTAACAAGCTAGTTATAGAAAGCATAATCTGATACAAGCCCCATCTCACTTCTTAGTTTATCAAAATTTTTTGGGTTCCCATGCTTGGAATGACCTTCTAATAGAATGTTGTATGTGATGTCATCTGGAACCACCCCTAGATTAAGCATAGCATCCAATAGCATACGAGCATTTTTTGTTTGCCCCAGTTTGCACAGCCCATTCATAAGCACATTGTAGGTTACAACACCAGGGACATGGCCATCACTCTGCATCTCCTTGAGCAACTTAAAACTCATCTTAACATCACCCTTCTTACAGAAAGCATCCATGATCATGGTATAGGTAGCATCATCTGGTTTCATTCCTGCATTCACCATCTCTCGTAACGTTCTTTCTGCCTCAACAGCTCTTCCTGCCTTACACAGCCCTGAGATAAGAGCAGTGAAAGCCACGTTGTCAGGCTGAATCCCCCCTCTAATCATTTCCTCTCTAATCTCTATAGCTGATTCTAGATCTCCCTCTTTGCAGAATCCATCTATAAGTGTGGTATAAGTGATCTTGTCAGGCTTCAAACCTCTCATTCTCATCTCATCCACTAGCTTCTTTGCCTCCTTCAAGTCTCCATCTTTGCAAAGGCCATTGATGAGGGTATTGTACATTACCAAATCAGGCATTAAGCCTTTCCTCAACATTTGCTGATATATTTCCATGGCTAAATCCATTCTTCCTTTTTTGCATTGTCCATCAATTAAAGTAGTGAAAATAACATCATTTGGTACCAACCCTCTTCTACACATCTCATCAAACAACGCATTTGCATGGTCTAACCTGCCCTCCTTGCATAGACCATTAATTAAAGCACTATAAGTAAACACATCAGGACTTATCCTAGCCTCCTCCATAACCCTTTTCAACCTAAACCCCTCCTCCAAATTCCCTGACTTACAATACCCATTTATCAAAGTATTGTAACTAACGACTGTGGGACACAAACCCCTCTTAACAATTTCATCAAACACCACTTGGGCATCCTTGATTCTACCTTCTTTACACAACTTATGCATCAAAATATTAAAGTTATACACACTTGGAGAATACCCAGAATCTAAAATTTCCAAATAAAACCCCCAAGTCACCAAAGGTGAACTTCTCTTCATCATTCGATCAAGCAAATAACCACAACCATGAAATGGAACCGCACAATTATGCTTCCTAACAAACCTAAAGCACTGAATAGCATCAGACATAAACCCCAAATCAGCATACGAAATCATTAAAGCATCAAAAATAAAATCACTCCGACGGGTACCTCTAGTTTCAATAACCGAGTCCAGGACCGATAAAGCCGAACCCTTCCCTTTCCGAGAGACAAGAAAGCTAAGAAGAGACTGCGCTTGAGGGAGCATCTTGCAGGCAATAAGGAAATGGGCCATGGTGCAGTAGGATTGCAGTGTGTGCCGAAACTTGGGCTGTGAAGAAAGGAAATCGAAGAATGTGAGAAGGGACTGCGGAGGGAGAGAATAGGGATTGTGGTTTATGAGGTTGATTACATGACGAGGTGTAATGGAGGGAAGAAGTCTCCCGAGCGAGATGTGCAGCGGCTTCAATTGGGAATTGGCAATTGCATGAGAGATTGTATCAAGAATTGGGTCTTCCCCGTGAGGCGGCGGTGGAGAGTACCATGTTGTGTAGAAGAAGGGAAGACGCAGTTGGGGTGAAGATGGGAGTCTGCATTTTCTAGGGATTTTGAGAAACACCATTTCTCTCAAGCTTCCGTTGTTTCTGTTGGGTCGGTAATATTATGCAGCCGGTTGCCGGCAGTGTTTTATGAAAATTGTGCATGTAACCCCCAAGCTTTTACCATCTTTCCATTTCGTCCTTAACATTTTGAACCAATCAACCAAGTCACTTAATCTTATCTTAAAGCATTTGGTTTGAACCAATTAAGCTCTCAAAATCTTGATTTGGACAAGAAAGTCCCAAGTTAGTAGACTGCTATCACATGTGTGATGTTTTTGCCAATCAGATAGAATTGTTTTAATTTAATTTAATTATACTATTTAAGAATGTCTCAACTAGTAAGAATTTGAAATTTCAAATCAGAAGTTTCAAATTTAATCCTTCAAATCATTAGCTACAAATTTGTTAAAAATGAAAGTGAGCTACATAGCAAGAACCACACATGTAGTGGTTTTGTGCTAAACAACATTTGATCAATATATCGAATCTACCAAATGCAAAATGTAACTTGTTTAAGCTATATGTGTAGTTTTGAAATAGCCTATAGTTTATAACAATAATCTAATAATTAATATGGCGTTTGAATTATAAATAAAAACAAAAATTAACCATTAGAATATCCACCCTAAAGTATAGGTTATTCGAAATAACTAATTAATCAGAACCTAGATATTCTATTGGAAAAATATAAAGCAATTAGTGTTGAGGAGATAGCTAACCAAAATGAGGGAGAAAGTCAACTAGTCAAGCTTACAGTGGTCAGCCCATCTTAACTGCGGCCATCGGCCTTCTCTGGTGTCCGATTAACCCTGAATGCTGTTGTAACTGCGTCTTGTCTGGTACCACAAAGGACTGGGTGTCTTGGCAAAACCTTCTTTAGACTCCAACTCTTTTTCTTCTTCTCATGACCATCTGTGTAGGATTTGGTTCTGCAAGAGTCTATAAGGTGATCAAGGTGCTTGGAAATGCTTTCTATTTCATAGGCATCAAGAAGAGAATTAGCACAAGAATGGACTGGACTAGCTGTTAGTGAGGAGTTCTCCGCCGCAAGCATGGCTTCAAGCTTATACCGGGATGGGCGAAGCACAGCTGATTGCGCTCTAGCCGTGATATCGTACTCACGAATTGGCTTCCCCTGCGACCCAGAACCGCGTTCATACCATGCCCATGCAGCAGCTTTTACCGCAGCCAATTCGTCGGTGCTCCTGTTCCTCTCCATATGGAAGAGTTCGTCGATGTTTGGGAGGAGTGTATTGTATATGGATACGTGGAAATAATAAGATCCACGCTACAGATGTAGAGTTGGTAGGTTTAACAATTATAGATAACTATACCCTTCTATGAAGAAAGGGATCAAATATGAGGGTTTGTTAGGTTCCAACTAGGCATTTTATTGGATTGAATAAAGTCATTCAATGGAAATGGGCAACGACCCCACTAGAACCTTCATGGAGTGGTAGGTGGTACCCAGGGTCCCAGTAGGGAAGCAGGCTTCAAAGAACTAGAGATTCCACAAGATTAGGGAATTCGGTCTGATCCAAAAGATTAGGGAATTCGGTCTTATGATACCGGTGAGCT